GAGCAACCAAACCACAATAGTTTTTTGCCACGAAACTTTCTGGCTTTATGGTATAATTTCAAGAAGTGGAGAAACATGTTTAAAAAATTTTAGACGGTCCACAATTTTTGGCCAAAAATTTCGTACAATTTTGATCATAAGCTTTTACAATTTTTAACTTTTCAAACTTTAACCACAGACTGTTACGATGTCAAATGGCTACAAACAACGAGCATCAATTTTTCTACATGTGCAATACAAAGCATACATGTAATGTCATATATCAATAAATTGTTCATTCTAATTAATTAGTACCTTTTGTACAATGAATCCATTGTTATTGATTAGATACACATTAATATCCTGATCATCATCTGTATCACATTCTTCCAAACTATTGGTAATCAGTGATTGCTTGGAATATTTTGAAGGAGAACCACAATCACCTCCTACAAGAGTAGACTAATAAAGAATGGAGGGACAGAGAGAGAGAGAGAGAAATGAAAAAAAGGAAAAAGTAGTACAAAAAGTAGAGTGGAAAATTCGGTGATTTTATGATTACAATGTACGTGTACTGGTGGTTTTTATATTAGGGATTTTGCAGCCATGTAACATTGGAATAAGCAAACCAAATTTGGCATTGTTCTACTATTTTCGTCTGAGCAACATAATTTTTTAAATAATAATTAATCATGTTTGACCACAGGATTTGCGATAAAGCATGCTAAGTGAGCTAAACAGCATGAGCTTCATGAGCTGACCAACACTACAATACAGTAAATGACATTTAGAGCAACTTTAAAATTCATAACAAATCCAAATTTAATCGGAATCAGCTCAAACTAGATATACAACATCAGAACATGTATACATATCAGAAAAAATTATTAAAATGGAAAATTCTTACCTAGCCATTTTTGGTAAAATTTGGTCCCACCCCTGTACTATAGTACAGGGTCTTTGGCCTGATTTTGGAGCAACTTTAAAAATTCATTAAAAATCCAAATTTAATCGGAATCAGCTCAAACTAGATATACAACATCAGAACACATATACGTATTAGAAAAAATTATAAAAATGGAAAATTCTTACATAGCAATTTTTGGTAAAATTTGGCCCCACCCCTGTACAGGGACTTTAGCACAATTTTTGAGCAAATTTAAAAATTAAAAAAAAAATCTAAATTTGATGGGAATCAGCTCAAACTTTCTACACAACATAACTACATATATACATGTATGTATCAAAAATAGAAAAGTCTCTCCTCTTCATATTTGGCAAAATTTGGCTAATGACCCTGTACTATTATAGTACAAGGACTTTGGCACGATTTTAGAGCAAATTTAAAAATTCATAAAAAATCTAAATTTGATCGGAATCAGCATAAACTTTCTATAAAACATAAGTATATGCATATATGTATTAGAACAAAAATATGTATTAGAACAAAATATAAAACTGGAAAATTTCCCCTTTTAATTTTTGGCAAAATTTGGCTGATGACCCTGTACTGTAGTACAGAGACTTTGACACAATTTTTGAGCAAATTTAAAAATTAAAAAAAAATCAAAATTTGATCGGAATCAGTTCAAACTTTCTACACAACATAACTACTGTACATATATATGTATCAACATAATATAAAAATGAAAAATTCTCCTCTTTTCATCTTTGGTAAAATTTGGCCAATGATCCTGTACTATAGTACAGGGACTTTGGCACAATTTTTGAGCAAATTAAAAATTCAAAAAAAATCTAAACTTGATCGGAATCAGCTCAAACTTTCTACGCAAAATAAGTACATATATATGTATCAGAAAAAAATATAAAAAATAAAAATTCTCCCTTCTTCATTTTTGGCAAAATTTGGCCAATGACCCTGTCCTGTACTATAGTACAGGGACTTTGGCATGATTTTTGAGCAAATTAAAAATTCAAAAAAAAATCTAAATTTGATCGCAATCAGCTCAAACTTTCTACACTACATAACTACATATGTGTATATATGCATCAGAAAAAACATTAAAATGGAAATTCTCTCCTTGCAATTTTTTGTCGAAACTCAAAATATAAGGGGTCTTTGGCCAATTTCGAGAAGTTTGACAATCTACTGAGAAGACACTACATTAGAACTACATGTACGCCAAAATCCTGTGGGAAATCCAGCCTGACTGTTTTAAAAAACGGTAGATCAAATTCAGCAATGTCTTCAGGGACGATGTCTGAAGATGGTAATATCAGGATCTACACATGTGTACAATACATGTCATGTACACTGTACATGTGCAAAATTTAAAAGGAAAGAATTCTTCAATCTTATTACATATTCTGATAAATGTATATATTACTTATGTTGCGTGTACGCTGTACATTATTAACATGTAACTGCATTATAATTAGTTCATTGCTCATTTGACATATTTTCATGTATCATTATTTTAGGTTCCCTTACTCTTTTTCTCTTCATTTCTTTTGATTCATCATCTAATGGTGGTAACGAACCATCTTTAAATAATGAACTCCATTCAACACCATCAGCCATCTTCTCCAGCGTAATATCTATGAAAATAAAAAAAATACTAATCATCATGATGTAGGTATTAATTTATAAATAATAGTAGTAATAATAACTAATAAATAAACAAAAATACAATATAAATAAATAAACAAAATTCAATAAATAAATATAATAATAAATAAAAAATACAACAAATAAATAAACACTAACAATCACTTACTTTCCTTTAGAGTAGGTCCAGGTGCTAGTACATTCATCAATAGTGTATAATAAATCTCCCCTAATGTATGTTGTACCATCACTTAAACCAACACTGATACTGGTACTCTCCATTATACATATTATATCTGATTTATTAACATCTTCTGGTATCATTATACTAATATTAATATCACTCCTTGATTGATTCCAGCTGGTATTAGCAGTCCCTCTGTTATACTCCATTGTATCTTGATTGGTGTTCCCATCACTTTCCTTGTCTTCATTCACCTCCTTCTCTTCTCTATCTATTCCTGGTGCTGATTCTGATACCAACAGTAAGCATTCATTGATATATT